AGAACACCGAATGAAATGCACAATACTAGGGCAAAACAGAATCAACAAGATTGCTTATGAAATATAGGAACAAACCAACAGCTAAAGAAGATCGACAATGAATTAGAGTCGAAAATAAAACGTAGAAGGGGTACGGTATACCTTCTTATAGACATCAACACTGGAACGGACACGAGCAGCACACGGCGACCTAACACTCGAACAAACTAGCGGATAGTGATAGCAGCACTAGGAATTTTCAATCTTTGAGAGTTTGTTTCGTGATTTGAAAGTTCTGTTCGTCTACAGCAAACAGGAAAGGAAAAAATATATTCCCTTCGTTTTGTTACAACGGACATGAAAACAAAACCTTGTTTCCTTGAGAGATTCCCCAAATTAATCGCTCAACAACAGACCGAAGTAACAGAATCCTTTTTGAATTTTTTTTAAATTGAATCGTCTAACCAACATAAAGGGAAGCCAAATCTTTTTTCTGAAAAAATTTTCCAACCCCCTTTCTGAAGAAAAAAGGTGGTTTATATAGGAGAAGAAGAATTAGGGTTTCGAATTTTGGGTGGGATCGACGATAGCCCATTTTGAAATTTTAAATCTCAAACATTATCCAAAAGTGAAGGAATATTCGTCAATTCCAAAATCAACCGAACGGCTCTGAGGCGACGTGGATGGTCGAGATCAAACTCTCGTCCTTGGCAAACGATGTGGCTCGATCCAACGTCGCCAAGGACAAGCTAGCATCGCCTACCGTGCTGCAGGGCTGGACGACGAGTGCAGGGTTGCAGGGGCTATTGAAGTATCCCGCTCACGCGCAAATGGAGAGAGGAGGACAGAGAGGAGGGAGTTTGGGGGAGAGGGAGAGAACGTGAGGGAGACGCGGGGGAAGGGTCGCGTCTAGGGTGGGATTTCCGATTATAGGAGCTGTTGTGTCTGTTTCTTTTTTTGGATTTTGGTGTTCTTCCTTGAAATGTCGAAGTGGGGAGGGGGGGGGGAGAAGGAGAGGGGCGCGTGGGTGTTGCAGGGGATCGGGACAAGGGTTTGTGGGCTGGGCCAAAAATTACAAAGGGTATATGGGTCGTGCTTGAGTGGTTGGGGCGGCTGAATATAATGATTTGGGTTAAATCGGATTTGGGCCTGGGCATTATTTGGGAGTTGAAAGGGGAGGGTGGGCTGGAGTGAAGAGAGGTTGGGTTTAAAATTAAGGGAATTGAGCTGCTGGCAATGTTTAAGTGGGAAAAGGAATGGGCTGAGGTGTGGGAATTGATTTGAGGGAAGGAAATTTGGGGATCCATTTTAGTGTTGGGTCAGCTTGAGGAAGGGAAGGGTGTTGAGGAATTGGCTGAAAGAACAAAAGGGGAAGGGGCCCAAATTTCGGTCTTTCAAATAAAAATGGAAAAAGAGTTCAATTTAAAAAATAGACAATCAATTTAGAATAAAGCGAATTTGGTATAAATCTATTGACGAGCTTATTTATTTAGTAACATAATTATTTAAATTGTAAAATAGCGACTGAAACTATAATTGTGATTTAAAATAAACTACTTAAACAAAACATTCAAATGTATATGATTTGGTGGTTTGAATAATCATGAGATATACGACTTATATACATTATTATGTAAATATGTATATCACCTAAAAATTATGGCAAAAGGTATTCGAAGTAACGTAACTCTCATGCATTATTTTTTATATACGTAAAATTTATAAAACTGGTTAATTTAAAATATTCGGAAAATTTAGGAAGCTCTATAATTAGTTTATACCGATGCGGGTCAAAAATTGTGTGTCAACAACTGTCCCTCATTTTACTTGGGTTGATGCAAGTAACTCGAGGAAAATGAAATTGACCAAACCAATTTTTAACAACCCCATTCATTTTTTTTTATTTTTTTAAAGGAATGATTCGACAAAGGATTTGGGAATTATGGCCGAACCCTTGCAAACGGGTCTCCTACATATCTTATGCTATATGAGAATTCAGGTCACTTGTAGTTCGATAAGATTGATTTACCGCACGATTTTGAAAGAATCAGAGCCACCTCAATACCGAATAATGAAGGTATCAAAATGCTCGAGAATAGAATTCGAGAGCGAATGTTAAAATACAGCCGAGTTTTCGACATGGAATCCGCCTACATATCCTTAAGCCTTCGGAATCAGGCTGTGTGTAGTTCGACTCAATCGGTGGAAAAGGAAATCTATTATGCTAGATAACCTTTGGTTCTGGACATGTGACAAATTAACGAGCATGAAAAGGAGGCTTGTAACCTCTTAGCCATGCATGTGGCGCGCCTCACACTCATAATTAAGAGCTTACAAGGACATAATTTCTAAAGATCTTGGCGCATTTTCACTTAGATTGGAGACTTGCTTCCGATAAATCGAAACTTTCGGATGCGAGACTGAAACTGACAGAATTAAAGAAAAAAACTGCATGTTTCGAGAGGTTTGTTCGATCGTGGTGGAAATTGCTCCTCTGCTCGCGTCCTAAGAGTTTGACATTCCTCTTTGGACTGTGTCCCAGTTCGCTGCTAAGAAAAAGTTCCACGTCATGTTGCATCCTTTTTTATGTCGTCCGCACCTGTGGTTTTGGAGAATTCATCCTTTTGGATTCTCTCGACAAAGACTGAGATGAAATAAGTCGGCTTAAAAATGCAATAAGGATGGGATACAATGTCTTTTTACCATGTCGACACCTCATTGTTCTCCTCAATATTCGACGTCGACTCGATCGGTCTGACATCTAGAAACTAAAGCTTATGCCTTGCGCTTTGTAATAAAATATTCAACGTACTCTTCATTTGATGCTTTATACGAAATAACAAAATGCAGTTGAGGCCAGTGAATAAGTGTTGCTCTTTCTTTATCCGTGTATGTCCTCCTGCGGGGCATGAATATCTTCTCGCGATACGTAAATTCCCGCGAGGTATGAATCTTCTCGCGATGCATAACCTTCAGCGAGGCATGAAATCTTCCCGCGATGTCTAAATTTTTACGAGGCATGAAGTCTTCTCGTCGGGCATAATTGTTGACTCGCAATGCATGATTTCCCGCAATGCATGACTTTTTCGCGATGCATGATTTTCGCTATGCATGAATTCCAGCGAGGTATAAATTCTTCTTGTGATGTCTAAATTTCAGCGAGGTATAAATTCTTCTCGCGATGTGTAAATTTAACGGGGCATGAAATCTTTTCGCGATGTGAACATTTTGGCGAGGCATGAAATCTTCTCGTCGTATATCTTTGTTGACTCGCTATGCATGATTTTCCGCAATGCATGACATTTCTGTGATGCATGATTTTCAGCGAGTCATAAATTCTTCTTGCGGTGTCTAAATTTCAGCGAGGTATAAAATCTTCTCGCGATGTATAAATTTTGACGAGGCATGAAATCTTCTCGCCGAGCATAATTGTTGACTCACGATGCGTGATTTTCGCGATGCATGGTTTTTCCCCGATGCATGAATTTCGCAATGCATAATTTCTGCAGTATGACTTCTGCGATGCATGATTTTCGCTGTGCATGATTTCTGCAATGTAGGAATTCCGCGATGCATAATTCCGCGATGCATGATTCTTCAGCAGTATATGACTTCCGCGATGCATGACTTCAGCGATGCATGATTCCGCGATGCATAATTCTTCAACGTATAAATTTCGCTATGTATGAATATTTATATCGCCCCCGTGGATAGTAACGTGAAGACGATCTCCAAATAATATATCGACCTGATCGATAATGATGAAATAATACTAAAATAACTATCCCTTCTGGGGTAATGCATTGTATTGATTGACACTAATCATCTTGTTTTGATGATGTAATGCAAATGGCGTCCTGTACGAAAATCGCGAAATCTTTCTTGAGATTCCTGTTTCATTCACCTTTGAATCTGGCTAGACACTTTAGTGAACTTGATATTGTCGTGAATATCTTGAAATAAAAAAACACACTCACAAGCATCGTGACATAAACAATATGAAATGCCTCTTGCTTTCAGTAGAATCCCTGGTTTTCAGATAGTTTTCTCCTCTTTGGGAGCTCTCCGTATTCGTCCGTCGGGAGAATCCAGTCGGTATCAAGGCAAAGCTATAAACATGCATCCACAAAAAAATTGTTAGTGTTTAAAACATACTGAGCTGTGTCGATTCCTTCAGTTGTTTGCTCCTTGTCTGGATATCTCCGGTTGATTTCCCCATTTCCCGACTCTTGATAGATAAGAAAATATCTTACGCCAAAACAAATGAAACATAAAAGGGCAATTTTAAGAGAAACAAGAAATTTTTAAGAAAATAGTATCTTGAAAAAGTCACTGCCAAGTCATGTCAATTCAGGCTTAACGAGTTCCTTTGAATTTGACACTTGCTGATGAGTTTAAGAGAAACTTCGGACTGTAGGAAGATTCTGATGAAATTTGGAGGCCCTCCTTAAAATTTCTGTCCCAGTTTACTGTCTTGCTTATCTTTCTACTATAACTGAATCGATCGCGGGATTTTTGAGATCTTATAAAAAATTCTATCCCCGTTGTAGATCTCGAAATGTCTTCAGTTTGACTTGCTGAAGAGAAGGCTTCTCCCGGAGAATTTTAGAGTCCCTCTCAAAAATTCTGTCCATGTTCTATTGTAAAGGGGAATAGAAACTTACGAGATATATGACTGATCCCTTGTGGCGCCTACGTATCCCTTTGAGGCAGGAATCAAGTCAAACGTAGTTCCCCTTAAAGGTTTACAAGAATGAAATTTTAGAGAAGACTGACCGAGGCCGACAAAGTCCGCCTACGTATCTCATTCTTTAGAATTTAGGTCAAACGTAGTTTGGAAAAAGAAATAATTAAAGGGGATAAATGGGGTAACCGAAGCCAACATAGGCCGCTTACGTATCTCGTTCTCGAGAATTCAGGTCAGACGTAGTTCGTTACAAAGAGGGATAAGAATTCAAATTTAACAAATACAAGAAAAAAAATTAGTACAAGAAAATGATAGAAAAAAGCAAGGCGAAACTTCACGCGTTGTATCTCTTGACAGCATCTGAGTTGATAGGCTTGGGCCATACAGTACCATCCATCTCTGAAAAGATCAAAGCACCTCCAGACAATACTTTACGAACCATGTAGGGACCGTGCCAGTTCGGTGCAAACTTTCCTTTGCGCTCGTCTTGATGAGGAAAAATACACTTAAGAACCAACTGACCAACTTCAAAATTTCTGGCTCTTACTCTTTAGTGAAAAGCGCGAGTCATTCTCTTTCTATAAAACTGGCCATGGAAAACGGCGACCATTCTCTTCTCAGAAATCAAAGCTAGTTGATACATCCGTTTGCTAACCCACTCAGTGTTGCTTAACTCAGCTTCTTATATGATCCTCAATGATGGTATTTCGACTTCAATAGGCATGACCGCCTCAGTTCCGTATACTAGCAAGTACGGAGTAGCCCTAGTCGATGTTCTGACCGTCGTTCGATAACCTAGAAGAGCATATGGCAACATTTCATGCAAACCTCGCTTTTTGTCAGTCATTTTCCTCAAGACCTTTTTGATATTCTTGTATGCGGCCTCTAAAACTACGTTCATTTGAGGGCGATAAGCAGTTGACCTTTGATGAATAATCTTAAATTGTTCACATATCTCTTTCATCAGGTGACTGTGGATATTTGCACCGTTAACAGTAATGATGGACTCAGGAACTCCAAATCTGCATATCAGATTGTTGGGGACAAAATCGGCCACCACTTTCTTGGTTAACGACTTGTAAGAGGCTGCTTCCACCAACTTGGTGAGATAATCAATGGCAACCAAAATGAACCTGTGTCAATTTTAAGCGGACGGCTCTATAGGACCAATGGCATCCATTCCCCAAGCTACAAATGGCCAAGGCGAGCTCATAGCATTGTGTTCGTGAGGTGGCACCCGTATCAAATCGTCGTGCACTTGACATTTGTGGTATTTTTGAACGAATTTGCAACAGTTGTTCTCCATGGTCATCCAGAAATAACCAGCTCGAAGAACTTTTCTTGCCAAGGTAAGTCCATTCATGTGCATACCGCAAACTCCAACATGTATCTGTTCAATAATCCTCACAGCTTTAGAAGAATCTAAACATCTTAAAAGACCCAAATCTGGAGTCCAACTATACAGAACTTCTCCATTCAGAAAGAAATTGAGAGCCATACGACGTATCTATTTCTTTTGATTAGATGTAGCATCTTCTGGATATGTCTCGGACTACAAGTAACACTTTATGTCGAAACACCAAGGCAAACAATCTGGTTCTGATTCAACATGTGAATAATGGACATGATTGTCTTTCAAGTCTATATCCAGCGGGTCGATGTAATCAGTATCCGGATGTTAGATAATTGAAGCGATGGTGGCAAGAGCGTCAGCTAATTAATTCTGTATTCTGGGAGTATGTCTGAACTCAATCTTGCGAAACCATTTGCACAGATTTTGCACTTATTGTACATAAGGTACAATCATCGGGTTCTTCACACCCCATTCTCCTTTAACCTGATGAAGAAAGAGGTCGGAATCTCAAATAACCAGTAACTCGTAAACATTCATGTCAATGGCCATTTTCAAACCAAGGATACAAGCTTCGTATTCAGCCTTGTTATTTGTGTAGTTGAATCGCAGTTTAGCTGCCATAGAATAGTGCTGACCAGATTCTGATACTAACACTGCTCCAAAACCTTTACCCTGGTGATTCTCCGCTCCATCGAAGAATAATCTCCTACCTAGATAAGCTTCAGAGATAACTTCACCCACAAATGACACTTCTTCATCGTGAAAATACGTCTTAAATGGTTCATATTCTTTGTCAACGGGGTTTTCCGCAAGATGATCAGCCAAAGTTTGTGCCTTTATTGTCTTCTGAGTCACATACACGATATCAAACTCACTCAACAGCATCTGCCATTTAGCTAACTTCCCAGTCGGCATCGCTTTCAGGAAAATGTACTTCAATGGATCCATTCTGGAAATGAGATATGTAGTATATGACGACAAATAGTGTCTCAGTTTCTGGGCAAGCCACGTCAGAGCACAGCATGTTCTCTCAAACAAGGTGTACCGAGACTCGTACGGTGTAAATTTCTTGCTTATGTAGTAGATAGACTTTTTGTTCTTCTCAGTATCTCAATGCTGACCGAGTACACATCCAAAGGTACTATCCAAAACAGACAAATACAGCAACAACGGATTCCCTTCTCGCGGAGGAACCAATACTGGTGGGTTAGACAAATAACTTTTGATAGCGTCGAAAGCGGTGTGGCACTCCTCGGTCCACTTAGTCGGGTCGTCTTTCTTCAGCAACTTGAAAATGGGCTCACATACCACTGTCGATTGTTCTATAAATAGGCTGATATAATTTAACCTCCCCAAGAAACACATCACCTCTTTTCTTGTCTTCGGCGGAGGCAACTCTTCAATTGCTTTGATCTTCGAGGGGTCAAGATCAATACCTCTTCTGCTGTCTATAAACCCAAACAACTTCCCAGCTTGGACTCCAAAAGCGCATTTAGTGGGATTTAGCTTCAAGTTCTACCGATGCAAACGTTCAAAGAATTTTCTCGGATGTGTTAAATGATCCAAAACTCTCGCGGGATTTGATTATGACGTCATCCACGTACACTTCAATCTCTTTGTGAATATTGTCATGGAAGATAGTCAACATGGCTCTCATATAAGTGGCACCGGTGTTTTTGAGGCCGAACGGCATCACCCTGTAGTGATATACCCCCCAAAGTGTGATGAAGGCCTTTTTCTCTGCGTCTTCTTCATCCATCAAAATCTAGTGATAACCCGCGTAACAATCCACAAATGACCGCATCTCATGTTTGTCAAATTTGTCAATCAGAATATGGATATTTGGCAACGGAAAATTATTGTTTGGACTAGCCTTCTTGAGATCTCTGTAATCGACACAAATCCTGAATTTTCCATCATTCTTGGCAACCGGAACGACATTAGCCAACAAGGTTGGATATTGCGTTACTTCTACCAATCGAGACTCTATCTGCTTGGTGATTTCTTCCTTCATCTTCAAACTCAATTTAGGCTTGAATTTCTGAGTCTTTTGCTTCACCAGTTCGAACCCAGGGTTGATAGTTAGCTTATGAGATATGATATCGGTACTCAAACCCTGCATATCACCGACATTCCAAACAAACACATCACTGTATTCGGCAAGCAAATGAACAAGGCTCTCCTTATGAGTTTCATTCAGGTGAGTGCTGATCTTGAACTTTTTGACACCTTCTGAATCTCCCTATTTCACCATTTCTGTCTCCTCCTGATTTGGTTTATGTTGATTCTCGAACTATCGAAATTCTTCTGCAACATAGTTTGGTTCCCCACTTTCTTCATAGTCGTCAACCTCGTCGTCATTTGCCTCATTTTTCTCATTTAGCTCATGACATGACGTGACATTGACAGGTTCGTAACATACGTTTCTGAAATCATAAACAGACAAAATTAGGAAAGTAAAATATAACAAGAAATTAAATAAACAAAGTCAAAATAAGGAGGCTTTCATTTAAATCGAACAAAATGCAAACTTGGGTCATGGCACAAGGACATGTCGCCTTTTAAACATCACAAAAAATTCAAAATCAAGAAAATGCAGAAATGGTGGGTCTCGGGCATCTTCCGGACGACCACCGATTTGGTGTGCGCAAAATAACTCCTTTCTACCACAGAGTTTGGGATATCAGCATCGGCGTGGACATCCAATTTTGCAGCATCTCCCCTAGTTCAACATCACGAATGCCTGCTGGGTTAGCCTCCTCCTCGATGATGGCATTGATCTGCTTGAAAAGGTCACAGATTCCTTTCCCGCTATCTTCAGGCTCGGCATGATCCCGGGCTGTCTTCAAGATCGGCATGGTCATAGACTGGAAAGGATTGATAGAGATTCGGGATTGGCTTAGTCAACCCTTGATCCTTTTTCCTCTTCATCTTCACATCATCATCTTTGGAGATGTACCCCAAACCATACTTTGATCCTTGAGCAAGCACTTGAACTGGCTCGATTATCCCTTGGGCATTCCTTCCTAATCCAAAACCTATTTCAAATCTGCTCTGCAGCATTATCGTGGCGATCATTCTGTACACGGCCGACATGGGAGTCTGCGGGACCAAGCCTTCATCTTTTGCATTTACCAACTCCACCGTGTAAAAGTCCGAACCTTGCAGCATCTCGTCCAAGACCGGCACCTACTTTCCTGAGTGGCCCATTTGGATGGTCAAGTTCACCGCTCCTAACGTCTCTCTCTGCACACCATCGGATACTCTCACATTGACCTGGTTTTGCTCCAACTTTCCGAGGTCAAACCTTAGTTGCTTCAGTGTGGACAAGGGGCATATGTTCAGGACAGATCCATCGTATATTAAAACACAGTTGACGATCTTTCCACGGCATATCACGGTGATGTGTAGAGCTTTGTTATGGGCCCTCCCTTTGGCCGGCAATTCTTCATTGCAGAAACTGATGCGGTGTCCACGAATGAATTTGTGAATCATAGCAGCTACATTGTCGCTGCTTGTACCTGAGAGCACATACGTGTCATCCAGTGCTTTCATCAAAGCCTGTCTATGGGACCAGGAGCTCATCAGCATGGCCCACACAGAAATCTGGGCTGGAGTCTTCTCCAAGTGCTTGACGGTGGAGTAATATTTAGGCTGCATTCTCCTCCAGAACTCCTCGGCTTCTGCTTTACTTATGGGTCTCTTGGCATGATATTTCTTTGGTCCTCCGAGAGCAAGCTCATCAGAAGTGTGACATCTGCCAGATCTAGTCATGCCTTCAGCCACGGCCGTTTGCATAACAAACTTGGGTTTGGCGAGAGTCTTAGAGGGCACCAAGGCAACAACCTTTGCAGGTGTCAGAATGACGAACTCTCCCTTATCCTTGACGCTCAAAAAAGCAATAGCCTTTTCCATGTCTTCCTGAACAACAGGAGTAATTCTCTTGGTTTCACGCTCATCTTCATTAGTTTCTATCATGTTGATGTTCCCACCCCCATGATTTGGCAACGGATTCATGTTGACGTTTGGTGCCGCAGGATGAAGGGAGACCACTTCCTGGTCAATCAACTCCAGGATCTTGTGCTTGAGATTTATACAGCCTTCTGTATCATGTCCAACACTATTGGAATGATAAGCACATCTCTGCTCCGGTCTGTAGAATTTGGAATTGACACCCACAGGCTTAGACACCACAGGGTGGATGTATCCGGCCGCAGATAATCTTTCGATCAATTTAGTTCTGCTTTCTACCAACGCAGTGAAGCTTCTGGAGGGGTTCTTCTCAAACCTGGGGCGAGAGGGATCATACCCGCTCTGCTGAGGGGGAGGGACTTGTCGATAACTGCGGGCATTTGGGCGTGGAGCTTGGGTTCTGGGGTAGGGTTTTGTTTGGTAGTTTTGCATTGGAGCTTGTTAATTTGGGAGGGGGCTTTGATATGCTGGAGTTTGTATTTGATATATGTGGGAAGGTGCTCGATAGATTGGTTGTACATTAGCGCAGATGGGAGGGACATTCTTGTAAGGTGGAGGAATTTGATAAGCTTAGGGGTAATTTGGATATACGGAGGGAAAATTTTGGGGAATTGGGGGTGTATTTTGATAGGACAAAACTTGGGCATCTGGATAAGTGGGGGAACATTGTAGTGGGCGGAGGGATGGGATTGGGGACGGTAGGTTTGATGAGGCTTTGATGGAGGATTAGAGTGTCCTTGGGGACGTGGTAAATTTTTGGGGACCTTTCTTCCCCCATATGATATAGCGACAACCTCCTCTCTCTTCTACCTCACAATTCCAGATGATCTAGGCGATGCGGACACTCGGGCTATCTTTCCTGACATCAGGCCATCTTCGATAGTCTCACCCACTTTTACTATCTCGGCGAACTTGGCGCCGATTAATAAGATGACTCTATCATAGTACTCGTGTTCCTGCACCCGCACAAACACCTCAACGATCTCCTTCTCTTTCATCGTACGCCTCACCCTCAATTCCTCTTTCCTCCATATGTACGCGACTTCTCGATAGCTTTCTGTGGGTTTTTGCTTCATCTTCTCCAAGGAGTACAGATCAGGGACTATCTCAACGTTGTATGTGAATCTTTCGATAAAATCCTTAGCCAGTGCGCTCCAACTGGGCCATTGTCG